TTCAAAAAGTAAAACTTTGTCATAACTCAACTCTGAAAGGACTTTTGACAAATGTGACCATACTGTCACACTCTCTAAGTCTAGACTATAGAATTTCCTGATAGAAAGTCTTCAATAAACTGGAAGCTCTGACTGCAGCTGGATAGGGAATACATTTTGGAAAATTAAATGCAGTAATAGTATTCTTGTTTGTCTACTTTAAAATGGTCTCATTTTCTTTTGATTGCTGTTGTGAGATCTCTATGGTCCTGAAAGTACTCTTGGCTCTTCATGTGCAATTATTTTCCAGTGGAAGTATCTAAGGTTGTTAGAGTATTACCAAAAGGAACCCAGCTTTTGGATAGAGATTTCAGCTACCAGAACGAATTCCATTACTTCAGGTGAACATTTCCCTCTCTCTCTCTCTCTTTCTCTCCCCCCCCCCCCCCTTCCCCTATCTTCCCTTTCCCCACAAAATGGAAAGACAGTCAGTCCTAATACATTGAGACATTGCTTTAAAAAAGAAGCCAAGTGTGGTTGTTTGAAAGCAAACCAATGAACATCTGCTGTATTTTGGAGGACATCAGATCTGAAGATTTATATTTATCCAATTGGCATCAAACAACTTGAAAATGCAGTAGTTTGCTTTCATATAAAAATAAAGAAGGATTTCTGAAAGTGTCTCAATCCTTTCCACCTACATTTAATTGCCCAACACATCTGACAAGTACCAAGCCTGTAGGCAGGAACGACCAGGTTTGGTATTTTTTCTTCCCTCCTCAGATAAAGGCCAAGCTCTGCACTTTTGAAAAGCAAACGAAAGAAATGGAAATATCTCCCCCTTCCAAAGAGCCGCAGGTTTTAAAGGATACTGGGATAAAAAAAATCCTCAAAGCTGTCTGCATGGTGGCTAAACAAGATTAGGTAAAACACATCCTCTCCAAGGCACAGACAGAATATAAAACATCTTAATCCCTCTCCTGTAGGTACCATAAGCAGTTACTATGCAGAAGAAACTTGTGTACGGTAGGCAGTCCAAGGAATGCATGCCTGTTGGACAGACATTGTTAACATTACACCAAATGTGTGCTTCTGGACTTCTGCAGGCACTAGATTAGATACAAGGCACAGGTAGAGGCACACTGTAATGTCTTTACAGGCAAGAAACAGATTTCTGCTTTATTCGGGTCTACATTTTCTGTCAAATTAAAGATAGTTGGGTGGCCTGAACTGCTAAAAGACAGTGAAAGAAAGATGAATTTCAATGGAGACAAAATATCTCCACAAACAAGCAGCTGAAAATTTCTCTTTTCATCCTATTTCTCTTTTCATCATACTAACAACAGTAACAACATTTAAAAAAAATCTAAAGCCCTCCTGATGAGGTAGCCACTAGATCTTTTGTGAGCTAAAGGAAGCTGGCCAAACCTCTTCCCAGATATGCCTGTCTCCCTATCAGTTGAATTAGTTGAGAGCTAAATCCCTTCAATGAAAGCTACCCCTGAGTACATCATTTACATGTATTACCCTGCTCTTTCTTTTATTGTGTTCTTGTTTTGGTTCAGTGTTTTCCTTAATTTGAAATGCCAGTTTCCCTTGCTGTACATTTGGAGGTATTTGGTACTAAGACAGAAAAGGCTTGTTTCCGAAGCTGAATTAACCTAACAAAAGGGAAAGGAATCAGAGCTTCACACAGAGCCAAAAATTTCAATCAAAATTTAAACTCACAAAGACAGCAAGTGTAAAATAAAAAATGTTTCCTCGTGTAATGGCTTTTTGGTACACATGCTATACATCTATTTTATCTATAAATGGATAGATTAGATAGAAACTGTTGCAACAGAAAGATAATATGTATCACCTGTAAAGTAATATTATGCCACTGTTAATTCTGGTTTCCTATTTGTAACTAGAAATTAATTTTTTGGTACCTGAAAATAGTACTGTCAACTGTACAAGGACATATCTAGCATATTTCACTGCAAGATTCAAATTGTATGGAATCCACAAAGTACAATATTTGTTTTCCCCAAACCTACTGGGATTTCAAGTCACCCACCATTCATTATGCTGAAACAGTCTTTTAAAATGGATTATTTTGAAAGCTTACTAGGAATAGCTTCTCCATCTCCATTAGCAAGCTGTGGACTGGTTCCCTTTGTAAGAAGCTGCAGGGGATGGAAATACTTGGCATCACATTGCAGTTTGCTCCGGAAAATGTTCAAAATACAATACAAGAGCTGTTTACCATAGTGTCTATTAAAATATCTGTTCAGAACCCCCAAAGAACCAAGAGCCTTACAACTAAGATAACAAAATAGCCAGGGAGACAGAAATCTACTGAACACTTGATTTAGGGAATTTCTGTGGGAATCAGTGGCTCTTGCTGAAGGGTTTCTTTTTTAACCTAGTTAATGTTCTTTGGATATTGCCTACTCTACTACAACGACAAGCATATTGTATGCAGAAATGATCCCTTCTACTTCTTTATTCTCTGAAGAATAATTAATCTTAGTAGAGGAAGGGGGACAGTACAGGCTCTGTACTCGCAAAAGTGAAATACACTTTTTAACAGGGATAGGAGTAAATGATTCGATATGCCTCTCCCGGGACACAGATGGTGCCAGATCAGAGAGTCCAGGTTTAGAGAATTTTGACTAGAAAGAGACAAGTATTGTTTTCATTAGAGATGGTCAAACTTCTTCAATCAAAATTAAAAGAAGTGACACTTTCCCCAGTCCCACAAATCAAAGTTTTCTAAGGCTGGAGATAGTTTGGTTAAAAAGCTCCATCTCCAGCTTAGCAAAATGAGGGAGGTCCCAGAATAGGTAGAGCTTGTCTATGCACTAACTGGCACATGTAGACCTTGCTGGTATACACATCAGAAGTTCCTTAATGCACTTTAACACAGTGCTGTTGGAAACCGAAAGCTTCAGAAATCACACTCCTGTAGCATACACTGCGGCCACTGTATCCACAAGTCCTATGTCCTGCCACCATACAATTCCTTTAGACTTTTACATGTAGTGGTAGTGCTTTTGTGGGGAGCCGGTTCTCCATCCCAGAACTGAGCCTTATCTACTGGGGCAATCAGGTGTTCCACACATTCCTTATTATTATGTCAGGTCAATGGACAGTCTTGTGTCCATAGCCCATAATCAAGTAATTTTCTGTCTTCAGAGGACATTCCCATACCAGCATCAACTTCCTGGATGCCCCAATCAATTTCAATAAGCGAAGCCTGCAGATAGTTCTATCAGAGGGTATGTCTAGACTACATGGCTCCGTCGACGAAGCCATGTAGATTTGTTTGTTCGGCAAAGGGAAATGAAACCGCGATTTAAATAATCGCGGCTTCATTTAAATTTAAATGGCTGCCCCGCTCTGCTGATCAGCTGTTTGTCGGCAGATCTTGGCAGTCTGGACACTCCCCTGTCAACATGAAAGCCCTTTATCGACCTCCCCGGTAAACCTCATCCTACGAGGCATACCGGGGAGGTAGATAAAGGGCTTTCAGGTCAGCGCAGGTGCGTCCAGACTAGCGCCCTGAGTTGACGAACAGCTGATCAGCTGTTTGTCGGCTCAGCGCAGCAGCCATTTAAATTTAAATGAAGCTGTGATTATTTAAATCACGGCTTCATTTCCCTCTGCCGATCAGCCTAATCTACATTGCTCCATTGAGCCATTTAGTTTAGACACACCCCAAGAAGGCCACACCTAACTTTCTTACATCATGCATCCAAGTAACCACTCCTGATATATCAAGAAATCTGTTATCTACAGCCAGGCACTAAAGTACCCCAGAATATGCTCTGAGGAAAAAGTCTTGGATACAGACTATAACACTGACTTAAAACTGCCTTAACACAAAACAAGGACCCTCCATCAGAGTAGATTAGTTCATGGAATTCACAACCCAAATTCTCCAAAAGAACATGCTTCCGTATAGAATAAACAACCCACCGACCACACATTCCACATTCATGATGCCCCATTTGTACTCCACACAATCACAACCCCTACTTGACGTGGGCCACATCTGAAAGAATCCTTCCTGAACCCCCTCTTCCAATCTTTCTACAACCCCAACTTTGCAAGCTCATCATCAGAAGCAAACTCCCCCCACAGTAGGATTCACCATCTCCAAGCAGCACCAGACTCTGTCAGACCACCGGATGCAAACTCTGCAGATTACATGTTCACTGCCACTCTGAGGTCTTAACCTCCCACCAAATGCTTTTCAGGATCCATGGATCTTATACATCCCTATCTCAACATGCTGTGTACCTCATTCAGAGATAATAGACAATCACTATGTTCTCAAATAAAGTCACACAGAAAAATGACACAAGACAAAGCACCCTATCACCAACAAAACCACCATATCACACTTAAAGCAATCCCTCTATATCAGACCTCTCTATCCTCAAAAGAAATCTAAACCCCTTCAAAGGATAAGCCTAAGTGCTTAAATTCATAACTTTGCTAGACACTAAAAATATGGACTCAACAGAGATACTGGATTTATAACTTTTTAGAACAAACTGTAGAAAGACCAGCCAGCAAGTATGAAAAATCAGGAGTTGGGGCAGGGGTTAATGAGTTCCTATATAAAACAGTGGCAAAAATTGGGACTGTGCCTATAAAATTGGGACATCTGGGCATGCTAACAATCTGTAAGCCACTAACAACCCCATCCCCAGCATTTGTTCCTTCCCCCACCCTCGCATGACTGGGGAGGGCTTAACTTGCCACTTCATCTTGAACGGTCCTTTGAAATACCAGTTATGTTAAGGAATCTGTTCCACCCTGTGGAGGACAGCACATAATGACACAGCACATTCCCCAGACCTGAAGAAGAGCTCTGTGTAAGCTCAGAAGCTTGTGAGGGGAGACAGGTCCCTGTTAGGACAGAAGGCTAAACTGTATTTATTAAGGCTGAGAGGGCAACTTTAACTAACCCCCCTTGCTAGCCTAAGATGGAAGTGGCTCAATATGCTGTGGTCCTTGCCTCTAGAGAGAGAATCTACATTGAGGGTCACAGTGAGCCTCTGAAGCAAGCATGATCCACCATGAAGTGCATGACCCACTGAAGCAAGGTCAGAGCCTCGTATATATTTATTAGGAGTTTCCTCTTTCCCCTTTACTTTTATTTTGTTACGCTCTTCATATTGGTTTTTCTATTTGCCTGCTCTGTATTCTATTTAACCCCACATTTTTCCCCCTTTGCCATCTCTCTTTTCCATTCTTAGTCTTATCTTAATTCCAAGAATGAAATGATACTCAAAGCCAACTTGAGTTTTCAAAACTCTGATGATATTTGTTCAACATCAGGCAAAATGAAACATTATGCGTGAGCAACTCTATAGACATTCAGCCAAATAGAACATGTTCAATAAAGCAGATATTTCTCTAACCTCATACCAACTTTTAGTGTAAAATCAAAGGCTCTCAAAATCTGAGACACAGCATGAAGCAAGCTAACAAAAGGCAATTTTAATACACTGTAGTCTCCATATGATTTTATGCTCACAGACAATCTAAGCTAATCAGAAGATAACCTTTTATGAAGGAAGACATTCAGGCATGATTGTTGTCCAGTCTAGGTTTCTACACTAAGGCCAACAATAAAACTACCAAAATATTTTATTAATGATCTGCCTTAATGAGCTATTTATAATTGTGGCTAAAGCTAGTAAGTCTCCAAAATAATGTTTATATTTAAGTCTTTGTATCCTTAAAAAGGAAAGATTTAATTTTTGTTTAAAGGAAAATCAAAAGGGACACTGCAGTTTCTTAAATAAGACACAATGGAGTTTTTTCATGGTCTTTGCAGTAAAACACACAGTGATAAGCCATATGTGAACATTTTGTTTCCCCCTCCAGATTCCAGTGCTAGGAAAAGATTTTGCCCTTGATCATGAGGTTTTATACATGAAAGGCTTCAAATATATCCAAGCTAAAGATGAACACAGAATGCTAATTTGGGTTCACACGAGGAACTGGACAAGCAAAGTCTTTTTTTTCTAGATTGTTAAAAATGCACACTTTTTGAGGGCCTTTATCCCTGAAGTACATAAAACTGATCTTCTGATCCATTGTGGAGAGTTATGAGAGAGAGAGAGAGAGAGAGAGAGAGAGAAAGATTAACACTTAAGGTGTTAACACATTTTGACTAATAATCAATTATTAATTTATCACAAAAACGAACGTGTTATATTTTGTGCATATTTTTGCACACAACAAAAGAGATGTTAATTTACACAACACTTTACACATAGAGAAATAAATGTATTCTCTTCCATAAAGAGCTTACAATCTAAATAAAACAAGAGAAACCAAACTAAGGATACGTCTAGACTGTGTTGCTGTTTCAGGATACTGGAAGTATCCTGAAATAGCAACATCACATCTTTAAAAGCACCCGCTGTTTCCCCAAATAGCGGGCACACTATTCTGACGTCCCTGTAACCCTCGTTCCATGACGATTAAGGAATTTATTGGAATAGTGTCTTATTTTCAAATTTGGCACTGTCTACACAGAGCCAAATTTCAAAATAAGCTCTTTTGACTTAGACTCAGAATAAGCTACGCAATTTGCATAGTGCAAATTGCGTAGCTTATTCCAACAGAAGGGTGCAGTCTAGACGCACCCTAAGACAAGTCACAAAATGATAATCCTAGAGAAACGGAGGTTGTGGAGAATACTGATGAACAGAACAAAGGAAATTATCAATGGAATAATTTCCTTATTTATGCAATTATACTGCAAATTCCAGAAGGATGTATTAAGTCTATAATACATGATCAGATGGTGTGAAATCAGTTTTTATCATTCAAAGTTTGGGCTGGCCATATTACTAACAAGAGGCAAATCTCATCCTAAAAAGGACCAATAAAATCTCTTTCTCTAAATAAAAATATCAAAACTTTGGAGTTCAATATCTTGAGATATTCCAGGGCTGAACCAAATGCTGTTTATCCCACTGAAATCCTGGGAATCACACCCTTCTAATGGTATAAGGTTTTGATAATTAGATTTAATTGGAAGAGCTTTAAACATCTGAGAGAAACAAGATGGTTCTTGCATGTCTTTCCTAGGTGGCCTATCCTTGGGAGTAGGAATCTATTCAGATGAGATTTTCTGAGAAGCAGAATTACAGAGGTAGTAACTATTCTACCTTTGCCCAAATATGAAATTTCTACTCCCACATTGCAAATGCTCAATGGCCAGGATAAGCTGTGCTCAGTTCTTGTGACAGTGACAGTTTGAGGCCTGATGTCTTGCAGTCCTAGGCTATGTCTAGACTGCAGGCTTCTTTCGAAAGAGGCTCTTTCGAAAGCATCTTTCGAAAGAGCCTCTTTCGAAAGAAGCCTGCAGTCTAGACATAGCCTAGGACTGCAAGACATCAGGCCTCAAACTGTCACTGTCACAAGAACTGAGCACAGCTTATCCTGGCCATTGAGCATTTGCAATGTGGGAGTAGAAATTTCATATTTGGGCAAAGGTAGAATAGTTACTACCTCTGTAATTCTGCTTCTCAGAAAATCTCATCTGAATAGATTCCTACTCCCAAGGATAGGCCACCTAGGAAAGACATGCAAGAACCATCTTGTTTCTCTCAGATGTTTAAAGCTCTTCCAATTAAATCTAATTATGAGACCAATGACTATGCTATTTCAGTTTCCAAATGTGCACTAGTAGAGAATACCTCATATTTTCAGTGTAATAGTTGCCCAAAGAATATTTGTATAATAGGAATGGGAGGAAAAAAATTCTATTGAAAACATTCCTTTCCTTCCTAGCTCTAACTGGAAGTGGATAAATAAGTAGGAATCCAGTCAAATGGGAACTTCAGAGAATCAAAATTAGAGCTGAGTAATTATTCCTTCAGAATTCTTGCTGTTGCAAGTTATAAAGCATAGCCTCTCTGCACCATGATGAATTTGTGGGTTCTCTGAAAGGCATGTTAGGTGAAGTATAATATGGAGGCATTGTCATGTCAGCTTGAGTTGGAATGTTGCCTCATTATACTGACATACTCAACATCAATTCATCTATGCACAGTCAGGTGTTAAAAACAGAAACCTTCAATTTGCTATGCCCCCTTTTTTTGCAGCATTTTGAGGTTACTAGATGACCTTAGGTAATCAAGCTACAACTGCAGATTCCTCTTCTCCTTCATGCAGCAAGGAGGCCTTGTCTACACTGAGGCTGTGTCTACACTGGCGCCCCTTTCCGTAAAAGGGATGCTAATGAGACACTTCGGAATTGCAAATGCCACGGGGGATTTAAATATCCCCCGTGGCATTTTCATGAACATGGCTGCCGTTTTTTTCCGGCTCGGGGTTTTGCTGGAGAAAAGCACCAGTCTAGACGGGATCTTGCGGAAAATAAGCTCTTTTCCGGAAGATCCCTTATTCCTACTTTCAATAAGGGATCTTCTGGAAAAGGGCTTATTTTCTGCAAGATCCCGTCTAGACTGGTGCTTTTCTCCAGCAAAACCCCGAGCCGGAAAAAAACGGCAGCCATGTTCATGAAAATGCCACGGGGGATATTTAAATCCCCCGCGGCATTTGCAATTCCGAAGTGTCTCATTAGCATCCCTTTTACGGAAAGGGGTGCCAGTGTAGACACAGCCTGAGAGTTTGGTTTGTACTTAGCTGCATTAGGTCAAATTTCTAAACAATAAATCCACAGTATCATGCCCATTCCATCGACTCTAAGGGGCATTAAAGTTGATTTCAATACCCCTGCTTTTCATGAGAAATAATGCTAAACTTGATCTTGCATGGTCACCTTTATGGTAGTGCAGATGCAGTGCTGTGAAAGTTGACAGTCTTGGCCTCTGGGAAGTGTCCCACAGTGCCTCATGATGACTGATCTGACCAGGATTTTTAACTATACTTCTCTCCAGCTACACAGAAGGGGTATTTTGGAATAACTCATGTTATGCATACAGCTGGAGGACTTCTTACTCTGATTCCTGTAACCCTCATTTTACGAGGAGTAAGGGAAGCCAGAGGAAGAGTGTTTTTTTCTTTGACTTCCTGTTGTGTAGCCAAAATCTGAAATAAGCTATTTACACTTAAGCTTTGAAACTGACATAGTTCAAGTTGAGTAGCTTATTCAGCATTAGCCCTTCTGTATAAACATGCCCCATGTGAACAGGAAAATCCCTAGGAAAATTTTAATTTCATTTCCTGTGTGGCCAGCATGGCAAGCAGACCTCAGAGCAGGCAGCACACCTCAGCAACCCATCTGACCATGAATTCCCAGAGTAGCAGATGAGCACGAACATGGAGCATACAGGAGATCCTGGATCTCATTGCTATGTGGGGAGAGGAATCTGTGCAGGCAGAACTACAAACCCTCAAAAGAAATGTAGATATCTCTGCCAGGATCACAAAGGGCATGGAGAAGAAAAGATAAACCAGGGATGCTCAGCAGTGCCAGGTGAAAATAAAGGAGCAGAGGCAGTCATACCAGAAGACAAAGGAGGCAAAAGGATGGTTTGGATCATCACTGAAAACATGCTGCTTCTACGAGCAGCTGCATGCGATCCTAGTGGAGCATCTGACCAGCTTTCCTAACCAGTCTGTGGATTCTGCCAAAGACACTCTTCTGGCAGCCTCAAGAGGACAGTGTGAATGAGGAAGAGGAGAAGGAGCAGAATGGTCAGCAAGCAAGTGGGGCAACCGATGCCACTAACAGCCAAGATCTTTTTATAACTATGGAGACATTCCCAGGATACCTTGTGGCCAGTCCCTGATGCTGGGGAAGGCACTTCTGCTAACATCACATGTTTTATCATGCTACAAGTGGGTTAAGGTAATTGGGTGTCATCTGTGGTGGCCACTCTGCCTATACAGTGGGGGGCTCCCTGGAACAGCTTGTTCATGTGTTCAGAGATGGAACTGGAATCCTCCCTGCACATCTCCATGAAGCTCTCATAGAGGAACTTTTTAATCCTTCTCATGAGGCTTCTGGGGAGGCCTGCCTTATTTCATCCTTCATGGTAGGACACCTTTCTATGTCAAGCCAGCAGTAAATGGTCTGGCATCACTGCAGCACACAGCATTTCAGCATAAGGTCCAG